CCTAACCCTAACCCCTAACCCTAACCCTAACCCCTAACCCTAACCTAGAACGTTATAAAAGCACTATAACCTAGAAAGTTGTAAAAAGCACTATAATCTAGGAAGTCGTAAAAGCACTATAATCTAGGAAGTCATAAAAGCACTATAACCTAGGAAGTTGTAAAAAGCACTATAACCTAGGAAGTTATAAAAGCACTATAACCTAGAAAGTTATAAAAGCATCTAAACTTAGAGTTAATCTTATCTCTAAGCTAGGACCTAGGATATTATTAAAAAAGCACTATAGAAAGGGAGCTTACCTAGCATCTCTAGGCAATTTAAGTCTTTAAAATATAAAACCTTATAAATGATATACTACTATATAAAAGATAGACCTCCTATTTAATAAGATCTTAGATAATTAACTAAATTAAAAGGACCTGGTTATTAAAGGGTATCTTGTCCTAGATATAATAGAGAACTAGGTTAATAGGGATTATAGATCTAGAAAGAACCTTTCTCTAAAATAGAAATTAGAGAACTTTAATTACTCTACTTCTACTATAACTCTACTCTAATAGTAGAGAGTAACTCTTAGGTATACTTATTTAGATAACTCTATAGGAAGATAGAATAGATTTTTTAGATTCTTATATTTATAAGTAGTAGATAGATATTACTACTATAGATAATATTAGGCTAATAATAGGCTTTATTAATTATTACTATCTTAGGATTAGTATAAACTTTTTAATATTATTAATTAAACTATAGGAAATATTAATAGGATTTAAGAACCTATATAAGGCTTAGTTTATAAAGTAGCTATTTATAGGAATATAGACTTTAGAGACCTTTAATATTATAGCGTGCTACTATGCGTTGTTTAGATAGCAAATATAAACCCCTTAACTCTAAATCCTAAGCATAAAGAAACATATAGAATAATAGAGATGCAGCCTGCTTAGGCTATATTTACTTAGTAATACACTAAAAAAAACTCCATTATAGTATAATAGGAATGAGTATAGGGTTAGGCAAAAGATAATACGCGTCTTTTGCTAACTAAGCGGATGACTAAGCTAGGTTATATGATTATAAAGGTCGGGATATAGTCTATTATCCCAACAATAAGTATTAAGCTATTAAGCTTTAATATATTAAAGAAGAGTCTAATTAGAATCTATATACACTTCTCTTTTCACTTTTTAACTTTATCAAAATGGATTTAATATACTAGCATATCAAATTTCAAATAAAGAATTCAGACGTTTTATTTTAACATTCAGTCTATAGGCTTGAAATGGTTTCTGCTCTTTCCTCTACTATTATCTTTTCATGCCCAGTTCAAGATTTTCTCCTCTGAGCGTCGTGAGCGTCGCGCCGAGCAATCTTGCAGGCATGTGCGAGCTCCTGCTCCTGTAGCCGCCATCTCCGCTCTTCTCTTCTCTCTTCTGCAGCTGCTTCTTGATCCCGAACTCGTTGTTGTCTTATTTCCCTCCGCAGTTGCGCGGCCGCTTGAATCTCCTCTTGTGTTGCTTGCCTCTGCTGGCGGCTTTCCTCCGCGGCATTCCGCTGTTCTTGGCTGCGCTTTTGGTTATGTTCCTTCTTGCTGGCCTTTAACATTTTCATCTGAGTTAGCTCTTGGCATCCAGATTCCACTCGTTTGTGAAGCAAGAGGGCTGAGGTTGAGCTTAAATCATTTGTCGGCCATCCTTGCGCAGCCATCCATTGTTGCTATAATTAGAAGTCAGCCATCTTTGTGAATAATCTAGGATAGATGGATTGCCAACTATATCTTGGAGACCTGAATGATAATCAGATCCAGCCACACGCTCTATTACAGATATAATTCGAGATGTACAATCTCCTAGGCGCTGCATCGTCGCTTCATGCACAGGTTCTCGGTGTACCGCAGCATTCCGAATCACGCGTGAGGCATGCAGATCCAAGATGAAGTCGTCTCGCTGCTCTGGAGTTATTCCGGTACTTGCAATAACTGACTTATGGTCCTGGCAGTAACGTATGATCTCTTCAACGAGAGCTGGGAGTTCTGCTGCTTGGTAGCAGAGCATATTTCGTCTCTCTAATATTTCTGCGCAGAACTTTTGGCAGAACAGAAAAAGAGACAATTCTAGCTTGTCTTGCAACTCGCATAGCAAGAGATGATTGTGCACGAATCTGCCATGGTTAGCACATGCCGGCGATACAGGATAGACAGACTTCTTGATATCATATGTCCCCACGCGACTTTTGGCTTTCCCCATGTTGTAGGATTGAGATGCTTAGAGCTTCTATTGACAAGTTGAGGTTGTGTGGCTTACAAGTACTTCTCTAAGATATCCGAACGGTTTATTGGGGATCAATTCAAAAAGAATTTCATTTACTCCTTTATAGTTAGCAAGAGCTTGGGCCTTCTTTCAGCTTTCACGGTGCGTGGATGTCTTTAAGGACATAGGGTTCCGTAGCACGCGTCCGCGCTCAGCACGGTCAATAGCTTATGCACCCGGTGTGGATGATATCATGACTTATACCCCCGCGCTTAATGCAATCTAGGGCCTTGGCTCTCTTTAGGAATGTCGTGCTGCCATAGCAAAAGCTAGGACATGGCGAGCTATGGATTTTGACCGCATCCGGCCATGCTGAGCTGAGCTGCAAACGGAACGACATCTTAGTCCCCGCTTAAATCTAGCTATAGTGTGCGATATTTTCAGGTTAGCTACGGCCATATATACTTGCCCTGATGCTATTACCGTGGAAAGCGCATAGTCATTGACAATTAGCATTCGGATCTACTTACAGCTCTCTGTCATAAATGAAGTCACCTGTTCTTAGTCGAGACGTCCCTTGTGATCTCAATGGAGGCGATAGTGAACGAGCCACTTTCAGAGGTACACTCCAACAAGCCACGCACTTACATGCAAATCTGACATCGACTCTAGAGTGCGGAGTCAGACAGTACTCATCTGCCTATTGCGACAAGGGAATCGATCATACTTGATGCAGATGGAGATGCTATACTTGATGTTGAGAACGTCGGAAGCAATGAAACCTTCGAGTTCCGGATTTCCACCAAAGTCCTCAGCCTGGCTTCACCGGTTTTTGCGAAACTTTTTGGGCCACATTTTATGGAGGGAAGTAGACTTAACCGCGCGGGATGCCCTCATATCAAACTCTACGATGATGATCCCTGCGCGTTGGAAGTGATCCTCAAAGCCTGCACTATCAGGGAGTCGATCAACCCAGCACTATTGACGCTGAGATGCTGGCAACTATCGCCGTCCACTGCGACAAGTACGACAGCATCAATGCATTCAACCCGTTGATTTCCTTCCGATTCATGAACCTTGAGCACAGAGCCAACTCGTCAGAGGATTTTGGCTTCTTAATCTTAACGGCTTACCTTCTCAATAATCCCATACTTTTCATGGCGATATCTGCGAAAGCTGTGACAGACTCGACGCAGGCCTTTTATCTAGCATGGAAGGATCATGACATCCTAGACATTTTACCAAATATTATCGAGAGTATGTGCCAGTGAAAGAGCGCCTCAATAGACTGTGGCTAATCTCCTGCAGACCGGATCATCACGCAGAGGGAGCAATTGCTGGGAGAATTGCATACGGCTCTTCAGTCCGTAGAGTCTTCACTGCGTCAAAATAAAGCAGGCTACGATATTCAGCGAGTTGTTTGTATGAGCTGTGGAAGAGTCCATCCTATGAAGAAGTGCCACCCATGTAATAACGCTGTGCTGCACCAGAAACATTGCACCAGCGACACTCGCATTGCAGAATACTTTGCCATTCTGGCCCAGGAATTGTGGCCTTCTGTAACTCCTTTTTATCTCTACTCGGTCTCAGACTTTGTCACTCGATTCGACTGCACGATGTCTGATCTCAGACACTCTTGCGCAGCTGGGAGTAGGTGTCCCTTAGAGACTGGACTCAGGGATCTTTCTTGCAAGGTACACCGTATTAAGGAGACCCCCAGGCGTATTTGTTTACGCTGCGTTAAGACGGAGCAGGAGAGTACAGTATGCAAGTGTAAATAGAACCTACGGCTTGGAATGTAATGTAGTTGATGTCTAAGCAACACATGAATCTAAATATGCTCATAATTCGTCACAATTCTCAGCAAGGGAAGCCTTTCACGTGGTGCGGCCGCTCGAATGCATGATTTCACATGCATTCTAGGTGCAACCTCAGGCTACTATTATAGAGCATCTCAAATCTGGCAGAGGAGCTTCCTGTTGTTTCTAGGGGTAATAACTTGAATTGACTGCTGTTCTACAGTGGGAAGTACGCTGTATATATAGGGCTTTTCAAGCCCTATTTCTAAGCTTCGCCACCTGCTTAGAAATAGCTATTTCTAAGCATTCGCCACAGCGTATAGAAGCTATTTCTAATCTTCGCCACTTGCTACTTACAGGCTATAACACTTCCTCTATGCTCATTTACCAAATGACTAGGGGTCCCTTGATCTCTTATTATTATTATTATTATTATTATTATTATTACATTATTGTACTATACGAGTCAAAGACTATGTAACACATCTGGGTCCTTCCTGCCCAAGCCAGATACCTATTCCTCATATAGTATATCCTCTCTACCATATAACTTCTCCCACATAGACATTCCTCTATGCCTGCTTCTTTACCTGGTATTATGGGTAAATATCAGCAACGGTCGGTCTTGCTATGAATTAATATTTCTCTTGAAGTTCAGCAGACGATATATTTTAGCGCAACTCTTGTTCAAGACAAAAGGGTGAAAGAAGGATGAGTACTGATAAAGTATCCTGAATTCTTGATATTCTTATACTCTTTTTATGCATATATATTACGTTGTAAGAATACGGCAAGTGCTCACTTAATATTCTCGCTCGTCATCGGAAGCGACATTGCGTGCGAGAGACCTTACAAATCCAAGCATCTGAAACATTAGGCATCTGACATTCCATACCAACAATATGCTATCTCATCACAAATATACCATTCCATCATCTCCATCATCTTCGCAATGGCGGACATCGAGTCGGAACCCCTTTTGCGTTCAAATACTCGTATAAACTACGACGATTCGTCCCTAACACCCCCACCAGTTTCTCGCACCGTCGAAGAAGATGTCATCCCAGAAACAGCAACATACGGCCGAAATCTCGGGTGGAGCGGTTCATATATCCTCATTATCTCCAGAGTCATCGGTTCCGGTATTTTTGCAACGCCAGGAAGCATTACTTCTTCCGTTGGCTCGGTCGGGATCAGTCTGCTCCTCTGGGTAGGAGGTTCTATTCTCTCGGCGTGCTCTCTCGCCATATCCTTAGAATACGGTTGTATGCTACCTAGATCCGGCGGAGACAAAGTGTATCTAGAGTTTACGTATCAGCACCCACGCTTTCTGGCCAGCACTTTGGTTGCTGCACAAGTGGTACTTTTGGGCTTTACAGCAAGCAACTGTATTGTTTTCGGGCGCTATGTGCTCTTTGCTCTAGGCGTCGAAGCAGAAGAATGGACTGAAAAGGCGCTAGCGGTAGGTTTATTGACAGCCATCACGCTTGTCCACGGAATCTCTCTGAGGACCGGAATTTATATACAAAACGCGCTTGGATGGGTCAAAGTGTTTATCATTCTCTGCATGGCGGGAGCTGGCCTCTACGTTGTTATTTTCAACCCCCAGAATGCTCACGGAGAAACGCCAGGCTTCAGGGTTTTTGCCTGGGAGGAGCTATGGAAGGATTCTGTTTGGAATTGGGGTCTCATTTCAACCTCACTTTTCAAAGTGTCGTACTCCTATGCGGGGTTGGCGAATGTCAATAATGTCCTCAACGAGGTTAAGAATCCCGTCAAAACTCTCAAGTCCGTTGCACCAGTTGCTCTGCTCACGGCGGTTGTCCTGTACCTCTTGGTCAATGTTGCGTACTTTATGGTTATTCCGATTGAAGAAATCAAGAACAGCGGAGAGTTGATTGCAGGATTATTTTTTGAAAGAGTGTTTGGTCCTGGATTTGGCAAGTCGGTGTTACCCTTGGCTATTGCAGTTTCCGCTGCGGGAAATGTCATGGTTGTAACTTTTGCACTGGTATGTTTTGCTCCACCCATTTTCTAACTCTTAGCGTTTACGGAGGTATGCTTGACTAACCTGTATCTAGGCACGAGTAAACCAAGAAGTCGCCCGCCAAGGGTTTCTGCCCTACGCAACCCTTCTATCTTCATCAAAGCCCTTTGGAACGCCTCTCGGTGGACTCATCGTGCACTTCGTTCCATCACTACTTGTCATTTCACTTCCTCCTCCTGGCGATGTATACGCCTTTATTCTCGACGTTGAAGGATATCCTGGGACATTTATGGCCTTAGCGACAGCTATTGGCCTACTACTCCTCCGGAGACGACGTCCGGATCTCAGCCGACCATACAAAGCTTGGCTTCCAGCAGTCTGGCTGCGCATTGTCATCTGCATTGCATTGATAGGAGCCCCTTTCGTGAGACCACAAGGGAAAGGTGACGTTAGCTTCTTTTACGCCACGTATGCAATCGTCGGAATCGCACTGTAAGTGATATTTTGATGTGGAGCGACCTGTTGCTAATTATTTCCGATAGAATTTTACTCTCTGTGCTGTATTGGTATATTTGGTTTGTGGCCTTACCGAAATGGAGAGGTTATCACATTGAGGAGGAAGTTGTGGTTCTCGAAGATGGGACGAGCATAACAAAACTGGTCCGCGTGAAGAAAGAGTAACGGTGTTGTAGCTTTTGGCCGATGATGGAGGTAGATACATATCTCACTTTGATTTAGCGACTTATATTAGATGGGCCTGAGGTTAAATAAGGAGTACCACTTTAGTGGTCAACACTCCGCATCTTGCTCCATAGCTAGATATTCCAAGTATCTAACTCACTAATGAAACTGATATTTTTGTACTTTTCTGCAAGATGACTCTAATATTAGTTTTCACCTGGTATTCCTACACCCCAGGCACTTTCAGCATGAGGCATGGCATCAGCTTCCCCCATTACATCAACCCCGCATCTTGCTTTCAAATCAATCTCAACTCATACATCTTTAACCATTGGATAACTGTCACGCAATTCGCATGGTTGTTTATGCAATATAGGCGTATTATTAAACCGCAACATAATCACGTCGACCTGTTGCTTTGAAATCCAGGTTGTCGAGTGATTGTAATCATCTCGCATTCCTAGTATATTATACTCGACTTAGCTCCGCATCGATTCAAGATGGAAGTTTCAACTATACCTACAGTTTTAAACAAACTTTAATTTGCAAGATCGACATCCAAAATGGCAGCAGCAGTAACCCAACGACCTCTCGACGTCCTCTCCGCCCCTCATTTACACCCCAACCCAGCCCTCGAAGTGAACAACCCCTCTAAGTCGCTCTACACTCCCCGACACGTAACCGCAACGTTCAACTATTTCAAGCCGAACGAAGACGGGTCTCCACCAGCACCAGCATACGTCGGCCGCCCCGAAACATATGAGAGGCCTTCCGACCCACACACTGTGACAGTCCACGACATCCGTGGTTCTGAAGACGAATACAGTTTAGATAAAACCGGCTTTGGGATCTTCAAACATGAAAGTACGGAAAAGGATTTCACGGACGAAGAGAAGATCAAGGACGTGTATTACAAGGAAGTTGAAGGGATTCTAAAAAAAGCGTGAATACTCAAGACACCATAATCCGCACGTACCCATAAAATAAAAAGCTAATCGTACCTTGCTCTACCACAGAACTGGCGCTACCAGAATCCTAATCTTCGATCACACAATTCGCCGTGCCGTCCCTGGAGGCGACTCCTCAACGCAGCGCGGCCCCGTCCAACGCGTGCACATCGACCAATCCTACACGGCGAGCTCTAACCGCGTATCACACCACCTGCCCCTCGAAGCTGCCGTCCTCCTACAATCCCGCCACCAAATCATCAACGTCTGGCGCCCCATTAAAACCATCCGCAAAGATCCCCTCGGCGTCGCTGACGCGCGTAGTGTGGGGGATGAGGATTTGGTGCCCATCGGCCTCATATATCCTGACCGCGCTGGCGAGACGTGTAGTGTAGCATTCGGCGCCGAACATCGCTGGCATTATTTGAATGAACAAAGTCCAGAGGAGGTGCTGCTTATTAAGTGTTTTGATTCCGAGACGGATGGCCGCGCCAGGAGGGTCCCGCATTCGGCGTTTGTGGATGAGGAGAGGGTGGGGGAGGAGACGAGAGAGAGTATTGAGGTTAGGGCGCTAGTTTTTGGTTGAGAGAACGTGGGATGAGATTCACATGGGCAGATTGGGAGAATCAAATGTACAACTTTGCTTTATTGACGATAGTGCTTTAACATCGACCCGTGACCTGTTGAAAATCCCGAGAAGAACACGCACTTTCTGGTGAAGGATGACAGTTTGGAATTTTTTAAGAGGGAAGCAAAAGCCTTTTGCGTAGAGCAAACAAATGGCGACGTTGACTCAGGGGTACTCGCTTATCTCCGACGCAGTTGGTTGCTCAACTCTAGCACGCAATGCGGGTAATAAAGTTCAGCTTTCGCTGGCGTAGGTAAAAAGCGGTGTATTCATCACGCGAATATATGAGATCAACTTCAAGTTGGTCATATAGAATAATCATATCTAATCCTGACGCTTGAGCGCTTTAGTATCTATAAAAAGCTAAATTGTTGCCGTCTTTGTATAACTCTACTCCCTCTAGCCCAGAGACTAAACTGAATCAGCACTAATATCATGCTTCTCTCCCACCTTCTCATCAACCCCGTCTTTAAGCCCGGGCTCAACATGTCCGTCGTCTATGCCCTCGAGACCGGCAGCTATCATATTCTCAGGTAAAGTGTCAACCGTAATCTTCGGTCCCGTAAACCATTTCCTCGCATCGATAAAGTAATACGCCAACGCACCACCCCAGACAGCCATATTAATTACTACTGTATAATTCATGCTCTCGGGATCCGGATTCGGTCCACCAACAGGGAACATGGCGAGAATGATTCCGAAGACTAGGAAGACAATCGCAGCCCAAGCGATAGGCCGAGAGAATCTATCACCCGTATAAAAGGGTCCGGGAACGAACTTGTGCTGCCCCCAAACTACACGACAGAATATCGGGGTTCCCCACGCCAGATTGTTCCCTGCCACAGCGAGAGAGAAGAGTGCTGAAGCTGCGGCGGAAGCGATAAGACAGAGTAAACCGAGAATAGCGGCAAGGAAGACACAACCCCAGACACAACGGAGTGGTATATAGCCGAATTTCTTAGAGATCGGTCGGAAGAAGCTTGAGAAAGGAAGGGCGCCGTCTCTAGAGAACGCCCAAGTCTGGCGGGATGCGGCGACTGTGATAGAGAGGCCCATGAGAAATTGGACAATGAAGAGTAGAGACATTAGTCCAAGCGTTCCCTGCTTGCCTACAGCATCATAGTATATTTGAGCCATTGGCTGGCCGAAGGATGAACCTAGAACCGCTTCAAGGTCTGGGTTGATGCAGCTTGCGATGACAATCATGATAATAAAACCGAGAACCCAGCACGAGCCAATAGACATCATAATTCCGTAAGGTACTGCCTTGGCGGCGTTCGCCGCTTCTTCGCTCATGTGTACGCAGGAGTCGAAAGCGCCGATTGTCCAAATTGGAGAAAGCCAAGAGAGCATGAAAGCCCATCCTGTCGGCCAGGTGGTTAGGTTTTCCGTCTGAGCGAAGATGTAGTGTGCATCGTTGCGTTCACTTGAGAGTTTCTTCCCCACGGGAAGGGCAATGATTGTGGCTGCGATGAGAATGAGGTTCATAGCCACGAAGACCGTTTGAAGTTTGCCCATGACTTTGGAAAGTGTTGAAGCGAGGACTCCATGGAGCAGAACGCAGCATAGGAAAACAGCGTACACGACGCCGTTGGAAGGTTCCCAATTGCCATCTCGAGCGACAACAATTCTTGAAAAGATTACTAGGAGTACTTAGAGGTTCGAATGATCACTTACACTGAACAAAACATCAATGCGAAACCATAATCGATGCTGCAAAGTCCACCAACCAGTCCGAGGGTATTCGAATACCCGACCAGGAAGCTCAACGCATTTCGTGTCTTGGGCGAAGCAAAGTAGTGCGTCCTGTTTAGATCAGCCTTGGTCACATCTGTGAGGCTTGCAAACATACCACCAGTATAAACCACCAGAGGTCGGCATCGCAGATCCAAGGTCCGCCATTGCTACCCCTACGACAAATATACACCCCGAAGCTAGAAACCATCCCCAAACCATCCCCACAGGACCGGCGGGTATAGAAAATGAGAGTGTTGAGGCAATCGATGGGAGAAGTCCCATAATACTGAATGCGATTCCAAAGACCTCCATCATTGTGAAGTTGCGCCTCAGCTCCTGCTTGTATCCCAACTTTGCTGCGGATCTCAATTAGCCTAGCACTAATTCCCAATGGTATTCCTCCAGCTTACCCAGAAGTTCAGCATCCGCTTCGCCAGCAAGAACCTCATCTTGGGGAACAGTCGAGTGAGCTTGTCTACTGGCAATCGTCTCCAAGCCTGGGTGGAGCGATGCACCGCTTTGAACTGCACTTGTAGCTGCCATTGTGGCGACTGTTGTCTTTTTTGCAATAAGCAATGGCAATGGAAACTTGACAGAAGGGAAAAAGGAAGATGTAATTGAGACCTCTCAATTGTGCAAACCAGCCAAGACTAGATCTTGAGCAGCCATGTCTCATACACATATAAGCTGCAATCCACATGCACCCTCTTTTCTATCATGTGGCTGGCCACACAACACTAGTCTTCGGAGGCTTCGTCTGTCATACTATCAAGGGCCCAGCAAGCTGTTCTGGCATGCTATTGGGTATGCGTAATAGAAAGCTGCAGGTTAATAATTGACATGATAAGATCTGGATACGATGTTATTTGGCTTCAGGATAACTGATAGCTCCAGGTTCGATAAGGAAGGGGTACCCGGGCAACGAAGCTTGAATGCTCCCCTGCCCTGCGTATCCAATCACAAGCTATTCGGAAAATTGATTAAAGAGGAAGGTGGTACCAGGGGAAGTGGCACGATAGTGATAATGAAGATATAGATCGACAAGGTCGAGCGGAAACTTGCTATAATAATGCGATTACCGGGTAGATAGATAGAACGTGATCGAGGTGGCCGATAACAATACAACACCTGGGCAGCTTGCCTCGCTCTACAGATGTGCAGCTACAGAGACGTTGGTAGAAGTTGAGGGTTTATCCATGAGCGGGAGGAAAAGCGGGAGAAAAAGCGGGGGAGATACACCAGATACAGGTGGGGAACGCAGGTGGTGACTGTGGAAATTGATACATTGCGCTCAATTCAAAGCCAATTGCCGAATTGATGAAGATTTGAAGGGAAGGGAAGAAAGCGTAATAAAATGATAGTAATCGTGATATATACTATATTGCTTGTCAGTAGTTACAGTACACGAGTAGTGCCGAACCATGAGATTAGATTGAAATGGAGGGGGTGTTCAAACTTTTGACCACCCCACTGTACTGTACTGTACTGTATAATATGGCCCAAGCATGGGACCACGTGATTATTACTCCATTTGGAATTTGTTGCACATCGCACTCACGGTTCATGGGACGGTCAATGTTTTTTGGACAGTTGGAGTTTCTTAGACGGTCAGGCGACGGTTGGACAACGGTTTACGAATGGTTTATCAACCGTTTATTAAAATATGCACAACTTGGCAAACACTTTTATAAAAACTATTTTCACAAGCAAGCTAAGTAATTATTCTCTTGAGGGGTAAAACATATGCTATTCTTTATACAACTGCAAAGCCATTGCTTGTAAGCAACCCAGTTTATAGCTTTTCTACGCAGCTTGACCTTGTATTGGGTATTATCTCTGTCACTGGTACGGACTTTCTCTTAACGATAGCTTTTTACGACTGAAGAACTGGATACAAAGGGCTATAAGCTACGAAAAACTTTGCATATCTTGTAAAGATAAAAGTTAGACTCTGATTAATGCTAGAAAAGTGAAGTTTGCGAGAAGTCGCATATCTATGTACTCAAGTACTGCACAAACAATATTTTCACAAGATAGCTGTCCCATATTGGTTGGCCACTTCATCTGGAGTTTTGTTAGGAATTGAGATAGAAGGCCTTTAGAGAGAATAGCTGATGATCAGGAAAGCATAGAAAATAAATAGAAAATAATAGGGACACAGATCAGCGTTGCGGGACATGAGGTGGGGTGGGATGAGGTATTGGCGTATCACGTGCTGAGATCCGTGCGTACCTTACCTTGACTTGAGAAGGCTGGAGTGAAGCTAAAGGCGCCGTGGAACAACTTTGCCCATACACCAACTCAATATGCAGCGTCGAATGGTATATATCACACCTCATATAATTATCCGTTCACCAGTGTGTCTGCAAGAGCTAATTCTTGCCCCAAGCTCTCCCAGGAAGATGAGGCCAAGGCCGCCGGAGACGAGGTCGAAGTCCGCAGGGAGGACCAGGACAAGATCAACAAGTTCAGCAGGCTACACCAGCGCGAGATAGGAATTGAGGATGAGCTCAAGGCGAAACATGTTAGTTTGACAGATCTCAAAACGACCGCAAGAGATCTCTGACTGAATTGTTGCGACAGAAAGAGAAAGAGGACCTGGACGACGTATCAAACGAGTTGGAGCTGGCAGACGAGGACGACAGGATCCCGTACGTTGCGCGCATCACCCTGGAGCCTCTGCAAAGCAGTCTGCTGACATTAACTAGATATAAAATCGGAGACTCGTTCGTTTCACTACCTCTGCCCGAAGTCCAAGAGATGCTGTCCACGTCAACCGCGAAGATAGAGGAAGAGGTAGCTGCATTGGAGGAGAAGCTGGGCACCATCAAAGATGAGCAGAATGATCTGAAGGTCGAATTATATGCGCGCTTTGGGCGGAGCATCAATTTGGAGACATAGCATCGGACAATACAAAGATACCCATCATGGCCACTTCTCCTCTCGCTGTTCTCCTCTAATATATCGTGCGTACATTGTGTAATACAAGGTGTCAGGAGTGCACAAAGACGTCTGTCCATTCACGTCTTGCCGCGTTATGGTTTTGGCAAGGAATTGATGGATTGCAATATAATTACTTCCTGGGTGGAGAGGGCAAGTGAAAGGGAGTAATACTGCCGGGTCGACACATTTATCTTGCTTACTATTCGATCCTCTTCGCTGACTGATGCCTCACATATTCTTTCTTTCCAACGACGATTCTGGTAGTTGGGTTGGGTTGGGTTTTAACTTTACGGTTATCGGCACCGTATTACTTTTCCATGGACCTCCTCGTCCAATAAACCTTCCTTAAGTTCCTTTTAGCTCGTAAAGATCAACACGATCCTTCGCTTGCGGGTATAAAATCTACTACAACGGACGGGTATGTACTACTTTTGGATTAGCAGCAATCAATTACGCCTTGGCGCAGGCCCCGACTCCTTTCCCCAGTGCTGTCATATCATTAACCCTAACCCTCCTTTCACACATTCCCTATTCTCTGTCTTTCTCGTTTTTGTCGTCTTTCAGTGTCAATGGCAGAAATAACAACCAACTCAACATCATAACCCTTCATGAGAATGGCCGACTCCCGTGACGTTGAATCCCGGTTGGCTCGTGAGTTATTTCCGCGCCGAGATGTCGCTATTCTTTCACCGGCTTACAAGATGCAGATTCTCACAACAGGCTGAGCCGAATCGTTTCCGGCATTGATGAATCGGATGCAGAACAACGATACAATGTGGAAGCAGCCGACAATAAGATAACTTCGTTGCCAAATTCGAGCGCCACAAGTGTAGCCTCAACCCAGAGGAAGGTTATTTCCTGGGAGAGAAATGACTCAGAAAATCCATACAATTGGTCATCCGTACGTTACTGCCCATTTTGTTGCTCTATTTGGAAGACCCATTGAACTGTTACCATTATGGGCCTTAAAGATACTTCAGTGAACGCCAGCTCGTTTCCCCCACGGAATCGTTTGCTCAAGAGACAATTGCTGATATTTCCATCTCGTAGAGAAAAAAGGCGTGGATAGTATCAATAGGAATGTTTGTGGTTGTGAACAGCACCATGGGGTCTTCACTTCCCTCCAATGCAATCCCGTTCATCAGCGCGGACTTCCACATCACATCGTCATATTCTCAAGTTCTACCGATTTCTATGTACTTGATTGGCTATGTCCTTGGTCCATTACTTTTCGGTCCACTATCAGAGACGTTCGGGCGAAGAGCAATCATGACTTCTACATTCCTCGCCTACACAATCTTTACAATGGCTTGCGCTCTGTCTCCAAATTGGGCAGCGCTGTTGATATTTAGGCTACTAACCGGAGTCAATGCCAGTAGCCCAATATCGGTTGTTGGCGGGGTGTATGCAGACATCTATGAGGATCCTGTAACTAGAGGAAGGGCAATGGCAGTTTTCATGTCGGTTAGTTCGATCCCCACCCATTCCTCCTACACCCAGCCGCGTTCTCATTGCCTGCCACTATCTATATACAAGCTCTGACATTTTCAGGGAACATGTCTTGGTCCTCTCATTGCCCCAATCATATCCGGCTTCATATCACCCGTTAAAGGCTGGCGCTGGACTTTCTGGATTGGTCTCATGGTCGCGGGCGCCACGCTGCCTGCTCTTGCAACTCTTCCAGAGACCTTTGGCCCAACCCTCCTCGCTAAGCGCGCTGCCAAACTTCGCAAAAGCACAAATAACCCCAACATCTTCGCGCCTATCGAGCTCGAGAAGAAAGGTTGGAAGCAGATGGCTACTGTCACGCTCACTCGCCCCCTTCGAATGATATGCTTTGAACTCATTGTTCTAGCCACATGTCTATATCTCAGTCTGGCATACGGCATATTTTACCTCTTCTTCGAGGCGTACCCCATCATTTTCCGAGGCATCTACGGACAATCATCCGGCGTCTCAGGCCTGATGTTCCTCCCCATCGGTGGGGGCAGCGTGCTGGCAGTCATTCTGTTCCTATGGTATGATGGCTTTTTGCGGAATGCGCAGAAGCAGAACAGGGCATGGACGCGAAAAGAAGAGGCCCGGCGATTGCCTCTAGCATGTGTAGGTGGACCTCTCTACGTCGTGTCGCTTTTTTGGCTCGGTTGGACTGCGAGATCAGAAGTCCCGTTCTACGTTCCGATGCTGGCAGGCATCCCGTTTGGAATGGGCTTCGTGCTCATCTTCATGGCGCTCCTGAATTACCTCACAGACGCGTATGAGATTTTCGCGGCCTCGTCCATGGCTGCTTCGTCTTGTTGTCGCAGTCTCGCTGGTGCGGTATTGCCGTTTGCTGCGACGCCCATGTTTGCAAGACTCGGTGTGGCTTGGGCATGTAGTCTACTTGGGTTTTTGAGTTTGGGCATGTGTGTCATCCCTTTCATGTTCCTGTGGAAGGGCGATGTGATAAGGGAAGGGAGTAAGTTTTGTAACTTTCTGAAAGAGAAGAAACAGAAAGAGCTAGAGGAACTGGAAAGGGAAGCGCGGGGTATCGAGGGACTGGGGTTTAATGATGCTCCTGGGGAAAAGGCGTAAGTGCCAAACATTGCATCTAAAAGGTCTTCTAGAGCGAGCTGCAACCCTTCAACAAATCAATTAGAAAATTTGAGTAAAGTTTGTTCTTCCAAAACTTGATGCGAGTTATCTTCTATATAATAATTAAACATAGAATATAGGTCAAGTTTTTAATAATTTCTAAAGACAGGCATATTTAAGCTACTAGTACAGCCGTTTCGTTCTGATTTCCTATGGATTTTCTGTGTCTTTTGGTATTTTTGTTCCCCCGTTCCCCACGTAGCGATTTAACCCTGCGAGGTCTAGGCTCTCGGGAGGCGGTGCAGTGTAGTAATGAAGCTTAAAATGAGGCTGCAGGGTAGGTGCTGTTCAAGCTCTTGAAACGAGTACATGTATCATCCGCTATATTACTTCCTCCTTACTCAGCCCCAAACGAATACTGTGGTGGGGCTGACATCGCCCGAAAATCACGTGAATTAGTCTGCAGTTATGCTGCGACCACTTATAAATAGGGGTTTCTTCTATATCTTAGAATGGCATCCGTTTCTATATACTTACTTAATACACTATAGTTTATATTCTTAACGGATTAATAATAATAATTACTTAGTTATATCCTAGCCTACAGCTCGCGGTTATTCCCTCCATAATACCTCTTGTATCGAGGCATCTTTTATTATTTGTGTGTTCCTCAGAGATAATTTGTGTGCAGCCTGCATCTCAGAGACAGAAAATGTAGCGGTCGCCTGCAGATTAATGTTTTATGCATGTTTGAAGCCGCGGCCACGGATCGGAGTTCCAAATCCTTCCAATCTTTCTTTCAAATGACTTCCGATATCCAATAATTCTTTCTATCCGGATTCTACCCACTTTTCTTGTCAGCATTCCCGCCTCAACAATATAAAATGTGTCTCGATAGCAGTTATACTCAATGTTCAAGCCTCATTGGCACTTTTCTTAGTAGCGTATGCTGCTTCTCTGCCGACAGTTGCATACCCATTTCCAACGGCACCGAGACCACAGGCGTCATTTGCTGTGAAGATCCCCAAGGCTGTGCAACATTCGCCCCGATTTCATGTGATCTCCAGCTTCAGAACATTACAGCACATCCTCAAGCTACTGTTAAGACTATAGACTTTTCACCGCTTGAATCGTGCAATGGGAAATGCTGTCCACATGGATACAGCTGCAATGGGACTACATGTCTACACGATGACGAGAATTCTTTGGTGGCGTTATCCTCTGCACTTACGCCCTCATCAGTGTTTGAGGCCCCTGCTCTGTCCACTGCTTTTGCTTCATCCGCGACCGCACTCACCATTTATACTTCACCAACAAGTACTCTCATTTCCTCCATAATTACTCCATCAACAGACCTTCCATCCTCCCAGCTTCCAACTTCCGTCATGCAAGTGTTTAGTACCGAGACCGAAAGGCCTCCAGCAGCAACAAGTCTAGTTACCGAACCCAACACTCCTCTTCCAACCACCACACCGTCATCGGCGTCCGATGCTCAAGCAACCCAAGACAAGACATATAAGAAGCTGATAGTCCCAATATCAGTAGTGGCTGTGGTCGCCTGGGTACTCCTCGTCTTCGCGGCCTGGAAAATCCTAAAGAGGAGGAAAAGAGCGTCGTGCGAAAAGAAGAACCAGCAAAGCATATCTGAGTTGCCTAGCGTGCATTTGAAAGGTTCCAAGAAAAGTTCTTTTAGATTCGAACTCCCAGGTAAAAACAGTTATTCATATTCTAAGCTCGATTTTCTTGCGGATTAGATTATGGAAAGTTTCATTCTTGGTTCTAAGAGTTACCAACTTTTATTCTCCGACATCCTGTTGAAAAATGGGCTCGTTATCAATGGGAATATCAGACTAATGATGTTTAGCCATGCCGAGGCTTTGGGAGTTACCAACTACGCGTCCACCAGTTGAGCTGCCAGCTACTCCTGTCAGGATGATTTCCGTAAGGTCATAATAGGCTTACGTACGTTAAAGAACATTCGAGCGGATATTTTATTCAGAGCACAACCTAAACAGAACATCGACTGCTGCCGCGAGCCGATGAATATGAACGACTTATTGCGAAACTGGTCCCAAATTTTGTTAGATGGCGCATGTCTGGTTCTGGGTCAAGTTCCAGCCCATTATCTCCAATCTTGGATCACCTCTATGACCTCAAACGAGTCCTGTTCGATAAGTACAAATACCTTACTGGTAATTTCCACCTGCCAATTGCTAGCTATCAGCATAAGACGCGAAACTTTTGACACACTTGATGATTGCAGACATATATATCCTTGTTGCACTACTTTTCCTAGCAAGCCATGTATCTTGGGAACGATTAGGGCGCAGGAGCAATTCAAGCTTAGTAGGGAAGCTCTTCGACAAGGGGTTGGATAAATGGCGCAGCTGAGATACAAGATGGCGGCACTTTCAACGAAGGAAATGCAACGATCTGCACCTTGCGCAGCGCATTGATTTCTGGGAATATCAACTGGAGCTAACCTCTCATCTCTTCTGTAAAACTCTTTATGACAGCTTCGCATCCCAAGCTTTGACTGTCCGTGGCTAAGTCTAAAGTAACTTACTAGTCTAATTGTACTCATATTAGTTTGACAATGGATATTTAATTCGCTTGTGGAACAGCTTCGCTTGTACCCCGTCGGCTAATCTGAAAAGGGGGGAAGGTTGGCGTAAAGGTTGGCATCTGGTGGACGAGTGGAATCTTGGTTTTCTTATATAAATATACTACACAGCACTGGAAATAATTTGGAAGATATTCAGGCAACAGTGCGGTGCTGGCAGAGATACTGACCCGTGTAGGACAGAGATCCCGTGACCTTGACATGAAGCCCACTTTTGGTTGTCAGAGTCTGATCTTGCACATTAAGAGATCATTCCCATTCAAAGATAAGCTATTCTATCGAATTGAAGATGTTGAATATACCTCTAATCATGTTTGGAATAGACCAACGCAATCGCATACATTCTGACGTAGTTCTGAGGCTCGTTCTCTAGCCTGTTGCTGCCTACCCCTCTGAATTCTCGGAGAACGCCACCTTCCGTCGAACCCGTCGATAGCTTCGAAATATATCCATTAATACTCGAGAGTTTAAATCCTTCCAAGCCCGTTTGTGGTGGGAATGAGAAAGTCATAAGCTGAACCACAAATCAACTCTCCGCAGCAGCAATCGGCTGTTTTCTAGTTTGACGGCTTTCAAGGGCATCTCCAACATGGGCTCTATCACCGACCACGTCAGTCTAAATACTCTTCCACGGCACATCGATACCATACAGCAAGTCCGAACCGGAAAATTAAAGCCCGCGTTTGGAGAAAGCTCCGGGATCTTCAAAAGCCCGCAATCAGAGCCCATCAAAGTATACTTCCAACGCTGCGGGGACGATGAACGTGCGTGGGAAGGTCACGCGGGTCCCGATAACGCGCTTCATCATTATGATTCGCAGCATTACAAGTTATGGAGACAGGAGCTCCCAGACCGTGCGCATCTGTTCGAGGTGGGTGCCTTTGGAGAGAATATTGTCAGTGGGAATATGACGGAAGAGACTGTGTGCGTGGGGGATATCTTAAGTTTTGGAGCGCAGGTCGTGGTTCAGGTCAGCAAGCCGAGACCCCCTTGTTATAAATTGAACCATCGGTTTGAAGTCAAGGATATGAGTTTGAGGAGCCAAAATGCGAAGCGGACGGGGTGGTACTACAGGGTGTTGAAAGAAGGATTGATTCAGGCTGGAGATGAAATTGTTCTGCTGGAGCGAAAACACCCCCTGTGGACTATTGCAAAGGTGCAGAATAAATTGTACAGGGAGATCAAGGATGAGGTTGCCATGAAGGACCTAGCATATCTACCGGAACTGAGCGATGAGATTCGTAACATATTCCTCAACCGATTGACGAAGAAACTCTTTATAGATGACAAGCAGAGGCTTCAGGGCGGGGACGGAATGGTGCTCAAGTGGACTCGATACCGGCTTGTCAGCAAGATGAGAGAGACTCCCAGGATACATTCTTTCATCTTCGAAGCTGTGACTGTAATCAAACAGCCCGCGAAGGTAGAGCCTGGATCACACATCCGAGTGAAGCTCGGAAAGGATGACAAGCTGGTTCGGGCATATTCTGTCGTGGATGGAGATGCGAATCGATTTGAACTTGGCGTTGCGCTCGATAGTGAAGAATCTCGAGGAGGGTCAAAATACCTCCATGAAGCTGTCAAGCCGGGAGATATTCTTTCCTTCAGCGATATGAAGTCGGACTTTCCTGTGCAGGAAAGTGCAGACTGCCATATTCTCATAGCGGGTGGGATTGGCATCACTGCGTTTATAGCTTCTGTGCGGCACCTCCAGGAGCAAGGCTCGCCGTTTCATTTATATTATGCTGTTCGCTCAGCTGAAGATGTGGCATTTAGTCGTTTCATACAGACACTCGGTGAAAATTGCACAGTTCTGGATGGATCGAGAGGCCAGCGATTGGACATCCCTAGTATTCTTGAAAAGCAAAACGACCGGACTCATGTCTATGTTTGTGGGCCTGATCGTCTCATGTCCGCCGTCACCGCGGCGACCAAAGACGCCGAATTCCCACTATCCAACATCCATTCCGAGGCGTTCGTGGTCGAAACATCTGGCGATCCATTCTCGGTTGAGCTAGGCAAATCTGGAGGCACTTTGGATGTCAGAGCGGAAGACTCGCTTTTGGATGTGCTGCGAGAAGCTGGGTTTGATATTCCTAGTACATGTGAAGTCGGCAATTGCGGATCTTGTAAGGTGGAGGTGTGTAGTGGGAAAGTCGAGCACAGAGGGACTGGATTATCACAGGATGAAAAGAAGGGTGCGCTACTTAGTTGCGTGTCGAGAGGAGTAGGTAGGATCACTTTAGATTTGTAAGAATGGGTGTGGAAATGCATATTTATCATACGTTTTAGTTCAGAGGAAGTATGGCACGGAGTTGGGATATCTGGGGCTAAGTGTTTTGGGTTCGATTCTCCTTCATACTGTGACGATCGACATTCACATAGCAATTCACCAAAATCATCCACGCTAGTTGGTCTTGCTGTTCTACATAGAGGTACCTTACCTCTGGCAGTCCCCGCTTAAGTAGGTTTCCTCTCTCATACACAACACTCCTCACATAACCATTGTACCACCAACACAAGTCTTGACTTATTCTCACCATGAAGACTACACTCACACTCCTCGTCATGGGGGTAGCCCTCCTCTCTGGCTCCATGGCCGAGAAGGTCTATCCTGCCTTTGTCTGTCCCGAAACAGGAAACAACATCGGAGGCTGTTGCAAGGAGTTCACATCTGGCGGCATCGGAGCAGGATGTATGTTGCCCCTAACTACCCCAATCCAAGTAAAGCTGAGAAGGGTTCAAGGTCAGCGTGCACACAGCACTATCCAGGGCAACGAGGAGGGATTCACTTGCGGCAATTGGGAGATTGATGCTGGACATCCTGCATGTTGCACCGTTTCCACGGATCAGATTGTGAGTCTTTTGATAGACAGCATTATTTCAGACTCTTCTAATCACTTGGCAAAAATAGGTGCCCCCTGAGATATTAGATTGCGTGGCAAGTCCAAAGACGACGTAGTAAGATGTGGAGAGAGAGGCAGGGGAGAGTCGTTTCTGAAAGGACGGGGAGCTGAACGCGATGAGTTCTGGCATGATGAAGGAATTCAGCTGAGGTTTCTCATCGGAAAGCTACCAAAAGTTCACTTGCAATTGTCATTATCAGAGCCTTTGTTTGATGAGTTTAAGAGCAGCTAGTCTTCTTCTGCACCCTCCACCTCAAACTAAAACTGCAAATTCCCAAATGTTTGAAATTCCATTATCTATCCCACCAAACCTTCCAGCTTGACGTGGTAGACACGAAAGGTATTACAGTCTGTTGACGTTTGAGCCAGAATAACTGCTCATTCTAACTTACACTTCAAGACGTACTTCCGATGTAGGCTTTGGGATCAAACACGAAAGTTTGCATTTTCGCCAATCGCTTGGATTGGAAGCTTTACTTGCTATTTGTTATTTGAGGTTCTACCTATTCACCCTTACCGCCGTGGCTCCTTCTATCTTTGCCTCAGCAGACCTTGAGACCGGACAATCCCCGCTGCCATCTCGACGGAAAACAATAACAATAACATATTAACATCGATATCACGTCCACACCACGTCGCATCAACACCACATCCACCACAACACAACCCGACTCTTCGGTATCCATCATCCTTCGAGCACCATGGCAGACCCACAGCTCCCCGGCTTCCAGTTCCAGGTCCAGCCCAGTATGGGTGCATACAAGTTTGTCGAGTGCTTCATGATCATCAGAGAACAACTCGGCCCCCACGAAGCGCAACCCGATATATACAGCGCGGTGATCCGTCTGGTACTAAGGGAAAGCTCCAGAGAGAGGCAACAATCCTACCGAAACTTGACCATGCTCGGGCTTTCTATCAGAAAGTTTCAGAGATCAGAAACATCTCCCCCTTATTCTTCTTCCTTTTGTCTTCCTTCCCGACCACGGGAGTGCACAGTGCACTCTGCATTCTCCCCCAATACCGTCACCATGTCCCACATCGAATCGCTCTTCAGGACGGAAGCTAGCTACGATCCTGCCTACAATACCTTCCTCGACTGTTTTCCCTGCAGCGCTTATACCAACGAAAGAGACGTCCGCCGGTGGCTCCGGAGCTGGTTTGGGGTCTCTGATATGTTCGATTCCGATATGGGGTTGTATGTATATATGAGCAGGATCAAGCTCACGGGTCGGTGGATACAAAAGATGCGCAAGAGAGATCTGATCTGGTACTTGGCTAAATGTAATAGGTACGCTGAAGAACCGGCGCCTTGCAAATGTACCCAGGTAGAGGAGTATATTATGTGCTGATATAAGCTAACGGGTGACAATAACAGAATGGGGAGCGGCCAGCTATACGATCTAGACCTCCTTCAACAGTTCGGCGCATATGTCTGGAGGGCGAAGATGGTGTATGAAGTCAAGAAGGGGTTGAGGGATCTGGACGGAAAAGTAGTAGTAGGCGCCGAGGAACAAATGGATGCGAATGTGAAAAGTTTGGAGCGGGAGTGTGTAGAGTGGTTGCCACCTTTTATAGAAAATTATTGATCAATCAAGTCAGCGAATTACATACAGGTAGTTAATAAACCAGCTTACTGATCAATTCCCATAACTTTGTGAGTAAACCAGCTAATTAACCAATGCTTCTTTACTTGCCAATTAAGTTTTTAACTACACTAAATCCGAGAGGGCTACCGCTAATAGGAGTGAGGTTTGCTCTATCAAAATATGGGTTGACGGAATAGCAGTAGCAAAGTAGAAAAAGGACGCCAAAAAGTCCGAATAGCATCACTTAGAATCTGAAAGTATTGGCGAGCAAAAAAGAATTAACTAATTAGCTAATTTATTTACAAAGTCACAAAAATTGAGCAGTTCGCTGGTGTTTAGTCAATCCTAGAGCTGGTGACTAAATCGGAGCAGAACCCGCGTTGAAAAAGCAGCTGCATACCCAGGTCCTGTTGCAACTACGCCAGGGCAGTCGAACACACTCTCAGACATAAATGTAGGTTTAGATGTCTGTCACTGAGTGGAACAAAAAAAGGACACAACGATATGCAGAAAGTATGGTGTTGAGGGCTGCATGTCTTTCGCTCCTTCCCTGTTATAACTTACTTGGGGCCTACTTTACTCCTGCCCCCCAACACACTGCCGAACAACTATACACATTGTTGTTCCCTATTCTCCATACTGCATCTTAAATCCCATCCACAGTTCAGAGTCCTGTCGTCGGCCTTTAGGAGTAGAAGAGCTCCTCGATATACTTAGTCCCTCGCAATGAACTCTCCGCATCACAACAGCGGGTGGCTACAACCAAGAGAGCAATACGAATCCGACTCCACCCCAAGCCGGACTCCAAGCCCAACGAAACCCCCCTCTCCAGTATCGAGCCCAGATCGAGTCGGAGAGCATTTTTCCAGCCTTATTACAGACATTGGAGATCAATTTCAGGCTACGGCCAACGACACCGTTGATCCGATTTTAACGAGTGTGGGTGGTTTGAACTTGGGTCGCTCTAAAACACCTCGGAACATAGATCGACACCCCAATACCGGTCAGGGTAGCACAAGCGGAGGTGGGCAGAACATGGGAATTCTTGAGGTCCCTTTGCTGCTGCCACCAATAATAAGAAGCAAAGAACCTATGTCGCCGCTTGCCTCGGTCCCGTTCAAAAGAAACACAAGAGCAGAAAACAAGAAATCGGCATCACCATCAATTGCCGTGTTGCTAATTTCGGATGATGAATCTGACGATTGGTCAACTGCGGGTTTGAAGTCTTCGGATGGGGATGCTGAAGATTGGATTCTATTGAACACCGGGGTGCGGGAAGGCACGGAAGAAGTCCCGTTCGGACACTTACTGGACGTAGCCGATGACACCCTACGTTCAACGAGCGAACCGGTAGACACTCTACCAGTCTCACCAACGCCAGAGGGGTCGAAGTTGAAGAAAAGACAAAGAGCCAACAGCGCAATGGAGACGGGCCCAAATAAGAAGGTCAAAGGCATAGCAGGCCCTTCCAGGTTTACTACGCGGCGACGTTCACCACGACATTTACAATCCCAATCCGCACCTTCGACTCCAACCAAGCCGTCAAAGCGCCGCCGTGGGAGTTCTGATGATGATAAGTCGAAGTCGGAGATGGAAGGAAAGCAAGCCAGGTCTGCGGCGAAGCGACGTAAACCAGAGTTGTAGTCTGAAGGATTGAAGACTGAAAGACGTTACGGCGGGAGAAAAGCAGAGGCAGAAATGAAGAGTGGCATAACAATTGAGGAGCATTTCTCCTTGTAAATTGGGCTCCAGCTGGAGAAAAGCGCTTGCTGGTTATTCAGGGGGAGAAGATTATGTTTAGCGAAGTAGAATAGGCTGTCTTGAGACTTGAAGCAAGCGAATAGATCGGCGTTATGATAACCCGTGGACTCTTTCTTTCTTGACGCTGAATAGGAAAAACCAGCACGGATTTTTGACCCACGACCTCTGGCACGTTATAAATTGGTGCCGCTTTTCAATTCACCTGAAGCTTCTCAATATAACAGACACATTTTGTCGCAAGGCCGTAGAACACCTCAGTAGTTAACTCCATTTTAACCCATCAATCCGTGTCCTGTAACTCCATGCCATGTATCCGCACAACCACACTTTATCTAGCATGCCCAGCAGTCGCTTCTCGATTCCTAGCCTCCGACGGCTCTTCCGTAACTCCGACCCTTTCAGGCATCTTCACACCCTCTCTTTCCTCATAACATGGCAAGCCTATCCTCCAATTCCGCTCTTCTGTTTCCCTGAGCTTGAGATACTCTTGATATAATTCTGATTGGCGGTTGTGGAGATCTTTGACTGATTGGCGGCGTAGACGCCATCTGAACGGGGAAGAGGTGTTAGTGGTGTGGAGAAGGGGGACGGGTAAGCAAGGAGGTGATCAATGAAGGGAAAAACTCACTGATTGATACCCATGATGGGTAGGAAGTTGAAGTGGATAATAAGAAAAGGTTTTGGTTCTCCGTTGGATATAACAACAGCGATGAAACGTGATATATGCTAAGTTGAAGTAAATTGTTTCGTCGAAACGTGGACTAAGAGATGTAATGTGGGGAAAACGTGACACCAAGGATTCTTGATTGAAAGTAGGACGTTTGACACAATATGTTTCTTGAAGAGTTACGAAAATACATGTTGAAGGGTAAAACTACCTCTTATATGGTTTCGGGGAGCTCGGGCTCGGGACACGTATAAGTATATAACGTCACAATCTATCATCGAATGTTATTCTTATTCTGGATAGCTCCGATTGATATTCGCGGCAATAGACCTACCCGTGCGGGCCGATGGGCGTTTGGAATCGAGAGGCTAGGGCATTGTAAGATTCTGGGGAACGGCTGTCCAATGATATGTCGTGGGGAGATTCCCGATGATGTAGATCGCGTGCTGAGGAGTCTATTTAGTGTTGTTAGGCAAAAGTTACTTCGTACAATACTCGGTACGTAGTGGTGGGGCGGTGAAATTTGGAATCGAACGGCTGGTGCGGTTTGAGAAGAATTAGTCAAGTAGTGGTGACTAGGTGTTGGATCTAGAACTGCAGAGTGAAAATAGTTTGTTGTGGTGAGGTGAGGGTGAGGAGAGAAATATGTGGATGTATAATTGAAAAGTAAGCTAAGGAAGGATGAGGTCAGAACTACCTGGAGAATACGATACGGAATGTACCCGAGTACTGTACTTGCACGTGATCGGATCCCAAGTCTTCTTTGTCGTCGCGTCTCCCTGAAAACACCATGCCCACGCCCAAGTACAGGCACTTGTACGCAATATTGCAATCGTTAGAAACATGACACCCACTCCGCACGCGAACTCTCCACATCACCACCCATCGCATTCGAATCTGCGTCTAAGCAGAACTCGCAGACCACGCACTGCCAATCCCTACGACGCTTCCAACCATGCCACTCCTCCACAGCAACTGCTAATGCCCGTAACTCCACTTGTGGACGAGACTACAGATCAAGCCGACCTCGATGCCGGGAATATTGATATTGATATTGGTATTGACGATGAAGACGACAGCGATGGGGAAGGCGCAGAACACGACGGAGATATAGAGTTTCGCGAGGATGATGATGATGTGGAAGCCGAGGATGATGATGAGCAGGAGGACGAGGATGTGGAGGAGGAAGGAGAAATCGAAGAAGGTTCGTGCAGTTCGATTTTGCAGCTCTGGATATGGAATCTACATCTACATCAACATCCTACACTATGAAATACACGCCCTTCAATACTAGGAATGCCTCCTTTCCGTATTTTTAACCTGGGTGGCCCGCCCGTTACCCCAGTGGATCACAGACCTGTTCGGGTTCGACCATACCCATACCCCCTCCCTATTAGAGTGGCAAATCAGGAGGAGTGGATGCGGAGAGTCATAGCGTTGCAGTATGCTAATCGTTTCCGCCGTCCAACAGTGCCTATGGAGGTCGAGACACCTTTCAACCCGGCAGCATTGGGACTGAAGGAGATTGGGAACCTGGCAAGTTGGACGGTCAGCAGTTGTAAGCCGGGCAGTGGTGTTGAAGCATTGCGAGATGATGATACAAACCTCTTTTGGCAGTGAGCTATGCTATGCTTGTTTTTGTTGGATGGGCATTATGCTAATGATACACTCCCTCGCCTTCAGATCAGACGGTCCTCAACCACATCACCTAAACATACATTTCTCCCGCCTCGTCTCCATCCTCTCAGTCCGCATCTTCCTCGACTTCCGCGCCGATGAATCTTACACACCTACACGAATAACCTTGCTTGCAGGCACAGGCTACCATGACCTTATCCCATTTTCCGCCCTTGAATTCGAAAAGCCAATAGGCTGGATTGACGTGCCCTTGGACCACGTCGGAGGCGGCGAAGATGGCAAGACATTGAGGGCATTCTTGGTCCAAGTCAAAATTGTCGAGAACCATCAGAATGGAAAGGATACACATGTACGAGGACTGAAAGTCTATGCTCGCGATGATCGGGCAAGAGGTAGCTTGGGAATCCTGCCAGATGGCGAGAGAAGAAAGAGCAGGGCTGTGGTACTGAAAGGAGAGTCCCCGAATACAGAGAGAGTATGGCTTGTAGAACCGGACTGGATGGGTGAGCCTGAGCTACGGTGATTTGTATTTTCTGGGCGGGAAATGGTGTTAGGAGTTAAGATACCCATGGAGGATTGAGAAAAAATGAGGCCATTATCGCAGATCCTTCGAATATTCGACACAATTCCCTTGCACATCTGTCATTTTTACGTTTCTCAGTCATTTGGGGTCTGCAAAGCTGTAGTCAGCTATTTTCTTAAATCGATCCTACGGAGTTTCGAACATCACTTTCTGTACAACACTTTCTGTTTCAACTACAACAGACTTATAAGATTAGCTGTTTTTTGTCTTGTTCTTTTACATTTAGCAAATGTTAATGATCGCAGATTGTGTTGACAGATTTTGCATACATCCATAACGTCCTAATGATGTAGCCCATTGACCTTACTTATGAGATCGCCCGGGTGCACTTATTCAATCCTAGTGGAATCTTTAGAGAACGGTACTCGCTTTTTTAAGTCTAACAGTGGAAACTGTTTTTACTCCACAATTCTATACTCTGCGCCACTGAGAGAGTCTCTATCTGACGAAATACAAGGCTCTCTCACTTTAAGATTACTTTAACTATCATCTTCCTTGCTGTTCTGCGGATTTACACTAGGGACTGCACCTGTATTTTTACATGAACATATTAATTTTGACCCAAGTACTAGGACGAGACTTTGTATTATATTTATCTGACTTTTGCTGGATATGTGGATTTCGTCTCTGAACCATAGATCGACATAATCTAACCATTCTAGTCGCCAATTCAAATTGTCACTAAAGGTCCCCAACGGCTCTTCCAGTATGCCAGTCGCTCTTACTCATGAATAAAGCTGTGGGTAAGTATTCAAGTTAGCGAAACATGATTATAAATGACAAGAGTCAAAGTAAGGTAGATGAACATGCGCAAATAGGAAAGTACCAACCTAAAGCCAACATGCCGAGGTTATCAACATTGTTATTGACTTCCCCGGGGTTTTCAGCTAAAAGTTGTGTGGCACCATTGTATTTATATGCTTTATTCGTCGTGCCTCCTATCCATGTTACTTCAGTGTTCAAAAAAAGATCATCATCTGAGAAGGTCAGCTGAATATCGTCGACACTGCAAGGTCCATCAACTTACAATTAAGCAAGTAATGACAGAGCTCATGGAACATTGTATAACTTAGAGGTGTCGCCCAGTATTCGAGAGACTGCTCGTAGTTGCCATTATATTGCGCGGCGCTCCAATCGACACTGGCATCGGTGCCGATGGTAGCTCGAGGTGTGACCATTTGGGCGAAAGAGAACGCCCCTGGGCATATGGCAATGTATTGGTTCATACGTGTGATGGCGATATCTCCTACGGCGTCCTCACATCCTCCTTCGCCAACGGGTAACCAGGCATTGGTAAAGGCGTCTGTTCACTTCAGTAAGCCTATGTACGCATTGTCTTTCATATCCACTCCTCGGTGGCTTACTCACCAAAATATTGATAAGACTGGGCTCCAGTTGAATCTGTAATTGGTACCTCCCCTTCATAGTTCGTGAATTTGGTGAGGTAGCCATCACCACAGATGAACACAGGAGGCTGGTTATTTGCATCATCCACGTAAGTTTTGATGGCTTCCAGAGATGCTATATATTATTTGCGTTAGACAGGTTCATACCATGAAATCTTGAATATCATTGCATTTGGAGACATACTGAGCACCTTATTCCACCGAGCAGTTGATTCTGGACTGCCATCTGCATCCCCTTGAAGCGCATTGAAAGTCTGTACCCCCTTGAGATTATCAAACACACTCCCTGCCCAGCTGGCACTATCTTCAAGAGCCTTCTTTCCGGTGGTAGCAATTAAACCGGCCTCCTGAACCGCTGCAGCAATCTGGTCGCGCACGTCTCCATAACTGGTTTCCATGCCCTCGGAATTCTTGCCCTTTAGATCTTTACACGAGGAGTCTATCCTCTGGGCATGAACTCCCAAAGCTAACACTAGCAGAACATAAAACAGGCTGCTCAGGTCTTGTGACAACCACTTGGACGAAGGGGCTGCCATGGCTAGAAAATATAGCGAGAAAGTGATGATAGGTAGGTACAAGAAGAACTGAATGTCTGCAAGACAGGAAATCGAAATTATGAAGTAGTCTAGGGAACTAGCGATGCAAACCCGCAATTTGATGGATTTGAACTTCACAAAGAAGAGTCAAAGTAGGATCATTTACTAGCATTGCTTACCTTGCTAATAATCCTCTGTTCCAATATCATTCCTCGCTCTGCCCCTCCTCTATACGACCTTATGTTTAATTTAATGACCTTGGCGTAGGATCTCGACAGTGCTTTGTCCTCTTAGCAATCAAAACTCCAATCAAAGACTGTATGTAACTAAAAGGCGTAAACTACTTAAAAATAGACTTCTCTCATGTAGCCCGGTAGCCGGCTTCTTGAGGGCCTTGCCATACAGGCTAGACTGAAACAGGCAAGGCGCATTCTTTCTGGTGGGTTACAGTACTATCCCCGCCCTTAATAAATGTTAAATCACGTAAAATCTCCATGGAACGTAGAATCCCATAAAACTGAATAGCTAGATATCATAGCAAGTGGCCCACTATTCACGGCGAAAGGCACTTGTACGAAGTAAAGTCCTTGTAAGGTCCTACTAGGCCCTAGACGTAGTGATATCTTTTGCTGGATTCCCCTGTTTATGCGGTGGGGCGAAGGATCATTATTCTTTATTAAGCGGGGAGGGATAGCAGAGTGATACGAAGTAAAAGGGGCTAAAAATAAGCGTTAGACATTTTGATTGGCTGACGGAACGACGTGATCTAGGATACCCAAACATTTCCTTGGCGGCTAGATCTTTGTACAGCATGGTTAATGAGACCAAGGCTAAGTCAACCTTACTTGAATGCCATATAGGGCGTGATCTTTTTTTATAATGCATACATAGTAGAAACTAAAGTCCGATAGAGCATGACAAATCACAGCGTATCCAGGCACTGCTACTACGAAGTATTATTTAACAGAGGTCGAATTTTCTATCTCAAAGCGATCAAAATCATAGTTATTTTTAGGACATAGTATAAGCACCAAGGGAAAAGATGAATATACTCCGTGCATCTCCCGCAGCGTGCATACGGCAGAGAAAATCAAATTTTCCTACGAAAGGTACCCGGTGGCGTCTAACAGGGATACACGTATGACATTTCTGAAACCCTAGCTGTAATCGATCATCGTGTTTTCAGCCCCCTTTGTAGGGCTATTATTTTATTGCTATCAATACTTTAGATTTACGGTGGATAAAGAAAACAAAAATAAGTCGAAGGATCTTGAGCTAAATGCTTCGAAGGCCAAGAACAGCATACAAGAAGTTGGAAAATGTCGCCTAATACCCTTCTGTCATTTCGTGCTGCGCCTGCAATTTGTGGAAAAGGAGTGTTTGGTCACTTACTTATTCATTGTCTGCATACCTTTTGCATGTTTCTTACCGGACCTCCTTTTCACATAACTCCCTTCTATTTGTTATTTAATCTGTAGCTATGCGGTCATTCTCCTGGGTCCTTTGGATAAACATTCTCACTCCTTATTGCCATGCATCTCCTGAACCAAACCTTCCCGCGGGCTATTCAGTGGCAGTCACAACAGACGCTTCTGGCTCTGTGCATGAGGAGATAGGTGTGCTCACCACCATTTCTGGTTCAATTTCTTTTATTCCACAATGGGTATGTACTCATATGGTTATAGTCATGAAGCTAATAGTGTTTAGAGTGCTATTACAACTCAGGACGAGACGTTGCCAATTGTCACAGCGACAAACAAAGATGGCCACATAGTCGTGGGAGTTGGTAATTGGACGTCGATGCCGCAGGCTATAGGCTCTCAGACTCTGGAAATTGTTAAAACAATAGCCCAATCAGGAGTAAGAATTATCTAGCTTAAACTATATGAACATTTCACTTACAACGCTGCAGGTGATCGGAGTTACAAGTTCTACGTTTTCCACTTCTATTACCTCGAGTAGTAGTTTCGCAGCTCCCACAACAAATTCATCGACAATTCACAAGACTACTATTACATCTTCATCGCAGTCTAGTATTACTCCCAGCAGTTCTCAGGAACATCGAGGAGCTTCGAATAGTACCATGAGCCAGGCCGGCATTTCGACCACAGCCGCCTCTGCAAGCACTGTCAAAAGCGCAGGGTCAAAGAGCTCGACACAGACCAGGAGTTTCAGTGTTAGCTTGATCACCTCGACCTCCAGCCAGCCGTCAAGTTCGTCAAATGGGACTGGCGTAGTGATTGTCGGCAGCTCAACCTCGAGTAGTGCGTCCTCGAAAGTTTATCTAAGTACAGGGTCCTCAAAAACTCAATCAAGTGTAGGGTCATCCGACACCGGTGCTTCTAGTTCAACTGGTGCAAGCACCGGAAGTACATCATCCAACGATCCGAATGCTGCGTCTTTGACATCACCCACAGGCACATGGACTACAACCCCTTCAGGATTCTCCGTCCAGAGCGTGTCCAATACGCTATGGGCCGGTAATTTAATCTTGACTACTACTGTGAATGGGCAAGCAACAGCGGTACCGGTTCTGCGTGATTGCGGAAACAAGTGTGATAGTGATAATGATCACCATGGATTCATAATACTTTGGGGTATTCCTGTGCTTCCGAAGATCAGTTTCAATATTCCCAGTCTTGGGTTTAGCTTCTCTATGCCTTGCTTACTATTTTGTGGTGGAGGAGGAGGAGGAGGAGGAG